GCAATATAAACATTGAAATGGTTTAACGTTATGCTAGACCCCGATTTGATTTCGGGAATTCAAAAAATGTATATTATTATATTATTTAGTTTTGATAGGATTGGATAATGCATTTTTTTATCCTAAATGATTTGACATTTTTTATCGTCTTTTACTGTAAATAGACCACAATTATATTATATATGTACTTATCCGATAAAGTGGTAACGTGTTGTGATACGGCACGAAGTCACTCGGATGGTATCCGAAAACACATTACACACCGATGGTTCGTGTGTATTCGAGCGGTTACCATCTCCTGACCATACTCTAGTCACATGCGCTGTTTCCGAGACCTAGATAGGCAATGGATAAATCTCTCAAATGTTGTTTTGTACACCGGTCGATGGACGATCAATTTTTATTGGAGACACTTACTATGGACTAAAGTTCAGAGAAAATTGAAATGATATTTTGATCATTTAGTGTTTGGCTGTTCCTTAGCTTTTGGTTACATTGCTCACAGAACCAGGCAAAGACAAAAAAAAATTACCTAAATAAGAAAATATGTCGGACTTACTTTTCGGATGATTATAAATCCTAAACTGTAATATAAATATAATTATATATTGATTTATCGTTTAACTAAGCATAATTATCTCTGTAAAAATAAATATTTTTAAATTAATACTATTACAATCAAAAGTAACATACATTTTAATATTATATTTTCGTGAAATAAGTTATGTTCAAAAATATAATAACAAGATATTTTTTAAAATAAAATGTATGCTACAATAAACTTTTTAATTAGTTAAAAAAGTCCTAAAAAAATGACCTTTTAAAAGCAAGACGTAACCATCCTTGAATTGATTTCAAAAGACTTCTTGAAACTTTGAGAGTACTCCATCTCCCTGATAAAGTGTCCAAAGAAATAACATCATTGTAAAACCAATATCGAACCAGCATCATTATTTTAAAACTAATTTGAAATAATGTATTGTGTTTCACAACGATGATACAAAATTCCTATTTTTTTTTTAAACAATGAAGAATAAAATTTACAGTTAAATATATATGTATATAATAAATTAACTTGATTCATTACAATCAAACTAAAATCATAATATTATAATCATTATACTATAATATAAAGTGTTAAGTATCAATTTGCTTGCTTGATTGCACAATCGTCACAAAGTCTATATAGTTGAGAATTTATTACATTATAGTAAAATTTTATGACTTTATCGAGCTAACCAAATTTTAACATAGTTATAAATGCATACCAAATATTCATCGATTTTTATATAATATGTTTTAATCGAAAATTTGATACTTCATACTATGATATATCGCATTTCGTTATAAATATTACACTATACTACGAGGGTAACTTAATAGTGAAGTTCTAATACATTTAAATCATTTCAAGAAGACAGAACAACGAATCATAATAACACGGAAATCGTTGATGTGTTGCACATGGATGATCAACTCCTATTTCAATTATATTATTATATTACGAATATGATCCGCACCGTTATTAACTGTAGTATAATAAATTATCAATCTACAAAAACATAAGTCACGAGCAGGAAATTATAATAATATTTTTAAAAATGTATATTGTTATATACGTTTGTCGTTTATTATGACGTAATCAGGAAACAAATAACCTTTAGTCACAGCACTTGTGTCCTGAATAATTAGTTATAGTTGAAAATATTTGAGTGAAATTGTTATGATGCTAATCCTCTACCATTTTTTGAAAGGTAACATTCTCATCACAACAAATAATATAGAATAATATTTAATTATTCAATTTTGAGACTTAGGGTGTAAAAACGCTGAGTTTTGAATTCCTAAATTAAGGTTTGTCGTTTTGATGACGATGCAATCGTATATTATGCATAGTAATATTATGAAGATTGGTATGCTGATGGTATTTGAGAATTTCGTTCATAGTTTATAATAATTTATTGTAAAACATGAACACAAACTTGAAAATGTACAGTTACATACGCAATTAACATACTTTTCCGTTTAAATATTTCTAACAAAAAGTAATCTAGTATTTATTTTGTTCAGATTAAATAATTTCACAGCAGCGTGTATTATCATATTAAATCTTGTGACATTAATTATATAATATTATATTTTTACAAAAAATCATAATCAAAACATTACAAAATAGTTACTTTTTTATTTTGTACTTTAATAATTATAAAAATAATAATAAACCATTTCATTAGTATTGGGTAAAATTATTATTATTCTTAGTTACAATAGTAAGGTCGACTCTCTGAGATGACAAATATAATCATAAAACTGTTATTTTCTGGTTATTTTCAAACTGCGTATAATTACCAAAAGTTTTAATTAGTGTTTTTCTCTTTATGGCGCATTTTTTTTTTTATTTGCTCCATTCTGAATTCGGAGTACTTTTTGAGTATAATTATGTATAATGGGCTCCATTATAAACCAAATACCATACCAAAATACTTGTGGTAACTAGATCATTAACCATATATATATATATATATATTGTAGAATAATTTGCACTGATAAAATAAAAACGTACAGAAAAAAAAGGTTGTCGGTAATGATGTCGATTTCTTAGATATATCAGATGGAATTTCATTAGAGAGACCAAAAAATCTCGTTAGCTAGGTCATTGTCAGTGTGATACTATTCTATTACATAGAGTCTAAATTGGGTGTTAAAATACATGACTAGTTTCAAATAAATGGTGAAAAATATGTTTTTGCTTTCATATCAAATAAAATTAATCTCGTTTAATATACCTGGACTCAAGAATGGAACTTAATAAACCACATCAGCTAAGTGAAACTTGTACAGGTTGTATACCTGATCTCCAATCAAACGTTAACAGTGTCAACTTCGGAAAGAAAATCATTAAACATAATTTAATACTAAATTAAATGTATATTCAGAATTAATGGCCCAGTAGTCGTTGTTTTTAATTCAGTAAAAAAGAAAAATTAATCTCTATAAAGTGTTAAGTTTAAAATAATTATTAAATAATGCAATAAAATATGGTTCCAATGTACTAGAATTCTTATCAATGTTCAACAGGTTATAGTTATAAAATATTTCTGGTTTTTTTTTTTGAGAAATTACGAATGAAATTCGTAAATGAAATAAACTTTACTAATTTAAGATCAAGTTTTATACATTTTGTCATTGTACCAATAAAATCCAAGGTACTTTTAATAATTTCATATTTTTAAGAAAAAAAATTATCAATATCACATTAATATTCATCATAAATTATGGTTTTTTAAATTGTATATCATTTAGATGGCAAATACCGACAACCGCTTAATTATTAATCAGTTGCCTCTATAATATTCTTAATATATTTCACTTTGGCGTTGATCGTACATTATAATATTTTATTAGTGTTTGTTTGTTTTCAATAACAAGTATAATATACATGTCGTAGACTTATTTGAACATTTAAAACTACCCTAACAATTTTTACAATAAATAACTTCTAAAAATAACAAATAAATAATGATCAACACTAATGTATTATCTCTGGACATATACAATAAATGTATGACACCTAATGAATCCTTACTTATATAATTTCAAGTGATTTATTTATACTTTTTTAAATAAAATAAGTTTTACAGTTATACTAGAATTTCATCGGTATTATATTTCCAAGAGATGTGTATAAAAAAAATTTAAAAAAAAAATTTAGATGTTTTATAAATATTTAATATACATTGTATATTATACAAGGATGTTTTCTTTTGTTATTTTATTATGAGCACTTACATAACATAATATTATCCAATTTCAGATGAATTTTCAACGTTCAAGTTAATTTTTTACATACAGTTTTAATTTAACAGTTAATATTTTCAAGAAAAAAATGTAAATTTTAAACAAATTAATGTTAAAATGAAAAATATAATATTAAAATATTTTTTCCTTGGTAAACTGAAGTATTAATTTTCCATCTGTATTTCATACTGTTGCACAATTTCAATGTTTGGTATATGTACTTATTGTACAGTGTATACATACATTTATAAATAAACGAATAGAATTTAATAGGTATGACATTTATGTTTATAGTATTATATTATGCATTTTATGGAATTTATATTAATACAATTTTTAAAAAAAATATTTCACCGAGAGGGAAGTTCAATTAAAATGTTATCAAAATCATTTTTTCCAATTTTAAATATAGTTAGGTACCACTTTTGTACCTAACGCCTGATCAGGTTGCCTTATAACTATCCCGTTTTGTTTTATGTTACATTATTCTAATGTAGTTGCATTCGTTTATCAATTTTAAAATACATGAAGTTATTATTGTATATTATTATTATTATTTAATTACTACATTAATACTTTAGTCATTCAGGACAAAATATTTGTTATGATGATGAAAACAGATACATTTTACCCCACGAACACCCATAGTCAAAACGACTAACGAAAAATTACCCATCAAAGTGTAAATATCACTGTCGTCAAACCACTAGCATGTGATATTGAACAATAAATTTCTACCTATTAAAAATATTTCATTCGCTGTTATTACAGTCATCTTTTTTTTTTATCTAACAACGATCATCGTCTATTTTACCAAGCACATGACTCACGATATATCATCAGCCATCACCTCTGCTCGAGAAAAATGTTTTACGAATCACTACCCACATTACGTCATCAGTTTTCGAAAGCTTTCTCATCTATTTAAACGGCAGTTTGGAAGTAAAAATAAAGATTTATATTGAAATTGACAATTTTACGAGTTCTGGTTAAAACTTTCCACGAGTTCAAATAAATCTTATTACCAATATTTTTAATTCAGTTTTCGAAAATTGTATTTTGTCTAACCGTTTTACTGCCATCGCATTATATAACAACCGTTATCGAGGACATAGTGACGGCATGTGACCATCGGATGTCTTGTAACCTGCATGATGTTGTACTACTATTATATATTGCGTCATATTGCAGTGAATACTCACGTGAGCATGATGGCGAGTGGGTTCTGCAGTGTTGTTCTCATGGGACTGTCCAGAGGTCCTCTGCCGAAGCCGGGCCAGGGCGCTCTTCAGCCCCTCCGTGTTTGCCCTACCGGTGTACAAACCACGCCATCTCTTTGACCTTGCATCCGCCGCCGGCACCCCAAACACTTAACTCTAACATCTGAAAAATAAAACGTTTTATTATTTCAGTTCGATTTTATTTACCTAATATTTATTTATTTTTTTTACTTTACAGGATATATAATTTATGTTTTTAAACTAAACTTAACTTGTATTATACTGCCAAATCAAAGACAACACAAGTAAATACAGTACTAATTGTTTTGTGTGAGAACTGTAAAAACTATTGATGACACAACTACGTTGTTATCGTAAAATATACTTTAAATTGAAAAAAAAAAATTGCATTGTGTTATTGATTTCGAAAATGTCTTTTGATAATTCTTTTGATTGAACACGAAAACAAGAGAATTATTTAACAAGAAATGTTTTTTTGTTATGAGTTCATGGCGCGTATATTAGTTATTGAACAACTCTCCCCACTCCCCCTGTTCAATTTTCGGTGTGCTCATTTTCCACTAATATTTCTTTCTCGTTTATCAAACCTACATAATTGTTCTAAGAAAAATACAGGAAGAACAAATAATGTAAGTGAACAATAAGTTTCAATAGACAATTTTAAAAAATGCGTAAGAACTAAGCATACAAATATTTGGATGTTCATTGAAGCAATCAATATTAAAATTCATTACTCCCTAAAAAATATTTAAATATTAAATATCCAAATAGGTATTATATCATTGTTAATTCTTCAAAAATAATAAAAATAAAAAATAAAAACACGTAATAAGGGATAAAAAAATAATTAGAAATCATAGACTTTTAAAATAATTTTTGAATTTTTGAAAACATTTTCATCTAAATGTCCAATTTTTATTTTACCTTCTATTTTTTTTTTTTTTTTAATTGTTATATTTTTATGTTAAGTAATATAATATTTTATACTGTCTAGTATGATTTATTATGAATTGGAAGATCATTTTAGGGTTAAAAAATATACATGTATCATCCTGTATATCAAGTTAATTATTAAAATATTGGTAAATATAGTATATTCTAGTTTACTGCACGTTAAAACAAAACAAAAATACTTCTCAAATATTACATTTTTAACTAAATAGGGAAAGGAAATGTCGAACTAATAAAAAAATGTACCATGGGGAAATTTACTACTCCACCGAAAATAGATGGATGTAATTTTCCTTAGATTTAATTTAATTAACACTACGAAGATTGAGCAGCACTATTCATTATAATAAAACAATATTAATTAAAGCATCATATGCCAATATTCATGTTAAACAAATATTTTGTTATTTAAATGTTAATATAAAGTTTTGTCAACCATCAATAATTACATAATAGATGGACCGGATGATTTGATAGTTTATGATGTATAATCATAGCGAAAAACAATAATTTAATACTATATGATAAACCATATTTTTTATAAAAAATATTTGAAATATCTATTTGAATTATTAAAATATACTTAACATACAATTCAGTTAACACTAAATACTATAAATAAAAAAAACTATTAGGCATATTGTTGGTACAATTTTCGAATGAGTCTTATAGTATGTTACAACAACATCCAAAGATGATATATTATGAAATAAAAATGAATTTGTCCATAATATTACAATCACGAAGTTTAAACAATATTTCAAGATGTTTAATGTTAGTTTATAAGTAAGGTTGTATATTATAAAACGTGACCATCTCAGTCAAATAGTTTCAAACAAAAAGTTTAATCCATGATTTTTTGTTTGTTTTATTAAAAAATTAAATGATTCATCCCCAATGAAAAATGTCGTGGATATGCAATTTTATTGCTCAACATCATAAATACTAAATATGGCCACAATCGCATTATAATTGCATTTAAATCCATCTTAAATATAATAATCATCTAATAAACAAAATGTGGCTTTTCTTTTATTATAACAAAACTGACACGATCCCTATTAATCAACGTAATTTATTAACAGACATTTAAGTAATCAAATAGCTGCAGCATCTATAGGTATTTACACTAACGAGTAGTTTTGTCAATTGTAGACAAAATTCTAAATACAATAATTAGTGTACAGATTGTTTTTAAAAAAATAATGATTTTAATAAAGTAAAACAAAATAATGATTATAATAAAGTAAAACAAAATATTAAAGAACTTGAAAATTAGCCATGGCGGAAATAACTTTTATTAGAAATAATAAAAAATGTAAGCGTATGCATTTTTAGAGTTTAAGTTTCATGTATAAATAATTAATGAATTTTACGTTGTACAACAATTTATGTGTTCCCATGCTTTATATTTTGACGAAACAATTTTTAACGATTAACAAAACTTTAATTATCCATTTTTCATGTCAAAAAAATAAATTAAAAACAAATCCTTTACCGCATTGAAATTGACCATCATTTTGCTTTCGAGCTTTCATGCCATTAAACTTATCCGGACCCAACAGAAAAAATTATTGTATATATTTTCAACCAAACGAGCCCATGGTTATGTATACATTAATAACATCGCATAAAGTGTATTAGGTTGGTAAATAGTTTATAAAGTTTGGAAAAAATTCGGTTAAGTGTGCGTGGAACCTGACAAAGTGAAATTATAATATAGCGATGCATAATACGCTGAAGCGTGTGCACCTATATGTGTGTGTGCGTGCACATAAATCGGAGACACGCAGTGAGGTATACACAAGATATATTGTGGCTGCGGGTGGGTGTTGGTGAAAAGAGGCACGTTGAGGGTCGGTCGTGGTGATGGGGAGGGGTGCAGGTGGGAAGAATTGGTTGGTGTAGGGCCAAATCTGCTGAATCGCGCATAAAATTCGCCATAAACACAAAGGGGACTGCGGGGGTGGAGGGTACCGTAAGTTCGGTAGAAGGTGTGTGCAAGTGAGAGTGTATGTGGAACGTGTGGGAAGGGGATGAGGGTAAGAGTTTCAACCCGTTTTTCGTGTACGTCACCCCCCGCCGAGGGCACTGCCGTTAGCACGCGCATAAAATTATTATCTCGGCCGCTCGGCGTTGCAGTGCGTGTTCGGTTATCGATTATCCACGTGCGTGTGCCGAAGTGATTGGAAAGTATGGCAGGCGGTGGAGCAAGGGCGGGGGACGATATGGTGTGGTGGTTTTCAATTTTTTTTTTTTTTGCTTACCCCTTAAGCGTCAGCAAGTCGCACACGATTTGCCGTACGATCACCGGCCCGACGTAATAGCGTATTCAAAATTGTTGAGCCCAGGCACTAACATTTGTATTTATTTCATTGTATTAAGATAAACTTCAAGAATGTCCCAGGTTCAGAATAGCATACATAAACTAATATAACAGTAAATTAAGCAATTCCAATTCATAGTAACATTTTTAAACAAAATATAAATCCTAACTTTAGCAAGAATTTAACATATTACATAACCGGTTAACTTCCATAGTTAAAATCCATATTTGGGTAAGTAATTGTGAAAGAAGTCCAGTCCAAATCTCATTTACTAGCCTCAAGATCCTCTCAAGGGGATTATCAAGCACATAATTAGTTCAGTGGGTTTTGATATAAAAGTTGGAGACGTTCGAGAATAACATATACATTATACATATATTATATTGTCTCGATAAAATGCAATTTTTTACGATATAAACTAAATGTATACATATTATATTATAATAAAATCGAAAAATCAAATTCAACGAAGACAAAAAGAAGTATATTATTATTTAATTATCTAGAAACACGATCAAAGTCTTAGGATACTATGTTTTGGGATTGCCGTTAAATTAACGTGTTATACTAGACTAGGAACACAATGAGATTTCCAACAATATTTCAGTAATATTTACATATGAAAAATAATTTCAATAAAATTACTTATATCCATGTTAAAAAGTGGCATGCAGAGAGATTGTGGCTTAATTGAGAATCGACGATTATGCCAAAGGTGTAGAAAACGGTCGGTGGTGAACGGGATGCGCAACATTTGACTGACAACAGGAAAATATCGTGGTTCGTGGTCGCGGTATAATATTATGTCAACCACATCAACACCCCGACCATGGTATAAAGTCTTGCTTCCTCGATCGTGGTTTATGTTCATCGCCTGTAGTCCATATTGTAAGCGGTTTAATCCAATTCGGATGACCACGATATTTTCCAAGGTTAGTATAATAGTATGTCATAATGGAAAACGTTGGTCATCGATCGTTTTCTCTGAGTCTATTTCGTCTTTAATTTTATAATGATTTTTGATAAGACCTTTTTTATCGTTCACGAGTGCTTTAAGTGTTTTGTGGACGTTTTATTTTTAGAAAAAACGTGATCGGCTTTTACTTCACGTCTGTATTACACATGTTGTGAACTTCTGTTCCCGATCAAATCGTTTTCGCCTTTTTAGTATCAACGAATGACTATTGTTAATAATGATTTTCAGTGTGAAGGAATTTCAGTGGAAATTCATTTTGGCGCATTATCAATTACCATAATTGGTATATAATATTATTAAGATAAACTTAATACAATAATTATTTGTTATAACGATATAACCATTATTTACGTACGTTGCATACATCATACATAATTGTTCAGTTATTATTTATTGTCGTATGTGACTTGTAACTCATTACACCCATACAATATACTCATAACAATACGTATTTAGGTGATTGTAATTAGATAAGTTCAGTTATTATAGAGAATAGACAATATGGACGGGTGTTAGTTTTTGAGTTGACATGGTAAGTGGTATGTAATGATATAAAATAAAAACGTAGGTATACAAATTTACCACTTTTAATTGTCTGTATTAAAGTATCGTGTGGCATATTATGTATAACCGTCGCCACCGTGTCACGATAGTTATCAACAAATATTTTTATACCAATCGAATTTTTAAACATTTTTTTTTCATAGTTCAGAATAAAATAAACCAATAGGGTCGATAAATATTTCAGAAATTTTTTTTTTGTAAATTGCGATAATAGTCCCCGGAGCAGTTTGAACACATAAACGAAGTTGGAGATGAAAGTCGTCGGAATTCCTACGATTTTCCTGACAGCTGTCGGTTAGGTTGTAGGTTAGCGTGAAAACATTA